CATGCCGTGATTGGCCAGCTGTACAGAGGTGAGACAGTAAGCTAGGTTTCAACAACTGAGTACAACACTATAAATGTCTTCCAGGAGTGAAAATGTGCACTGTCATCCCCATACAGCAGCCCGCCCATTTATTTACATGAAACCAGCTCTCCCCTGATGGAGGACTTTATTTTGCCTAATGGGAAATTAGTCTCACAGGCAGGTAAAACACAGAACACAGACATGAATATAAAACACGATAAATATGTGAAACGTAATACAAATATAAAAACAAGGACAGAATAACATAAAACCTGGAGTACATCCAGTCGTTATCATCCCACCCAATCATCAGTACCATCATCACCCACCAATATTATTGTATATGGACAACATCATCTGTCCATCCATCCATCCATCCATCCATCCATCCATCCATCCATCTATACAGTCTTTTCTATCAGCCAGTCATAAGACAACAGAACTGACATCAGGAAAATAAGATTCTAGTAAAGGTTACGTTCCAGTCCGCAATGTCCTTCACCCCCTGCAGCGTGCAGCCCAGTGGAAAATATGGTCTTGGGAGGGAGTTTTTGGGGGAAAGGATCTATGGACAGGAGGCCAAAACTGGATCGAAGTGCCTCCGGTGGAAGAAGAGTAATGTGAGTTCTTGAAAATGTTCCAAAAGAAAAGTTTCCACGGTGGAAAGCAGGCGAGAGAGAAAGACGCTGCAGCAAATGAATACAAAGAGATCTTCACAAGAATGTGTGTTTCTGACTTTGGCTTCCTTCAGGGCCACATTTCAGACCAAAGACCAGTTAACTGTGTGTATATATGCGTGTGTGCGAGTGAGTGTGTGTGTGTGTGTGTGTGTGTGTGTGTGTGTGTGTGTGTGTGTGTGTGTGTGGAGAAGTTACGAGGCTAAGTGGTGATAAAGGCAAACATATCGTTCCATCTCTGCTCTTTCCCTGACCTTATTAGGCAGTGTTAACTGAGGGGAAGTCACAAACACACACATATTAGAGCAGGAGAGAATAGTGTGTGTGTGTGTGTGTGTGTGTGTGTGTGTGTGTGTGTGTGTAGTGTAGGAGAGGGAAAAAATGGAGGAAGAGGACTAGGAAAATGTGTTTTCTTAAACAAACATACCCTCACACAGACACTTGAGTCATCCTCTTCAAGTCATCATCAATTATATCCTCATTATGGATCACTGTGTCTTCACACACACACACACACACATAAACACACACACACACACACACACACACACACACACACACACACACACACACACACACACACGTTTAACTCCCCTTTGGCCTCCTCTCTAAAAGCCAATTACTACCCACCACCCTCCACCCACACACTTCCCCCCTCTGCCCAGCCAGCCCTCCACCCACCCTTGTATCCAGGCAGAAGCCATTACAGACGTCACACACAGAAAAGTAACCTTTCATAGATTCGAGAAGATCCACGTCACACGGCACGGCTGCGCTCAGCGTGGCACTAACCACACACAGGCTGATGTCGGCTGTCAGCCCGATACACCAGCTCCAAATAAAACAGGAAGGTGGTCAAGCAGTGAGAATTTATAAGCCGGTTCAAATATTCTTCAACGAGACAATGAAGCGTTCAAAACTGATTATACAGTCGAGTGAGTCACTGGAGGAAAGTGTCAGCTTCAAACTTTTAAAATCACACTTTAAATACGGTTCAAATCTACTTTATACTGATGAATGTGCTGACATTTCTTTTGGATTTACCCTAATTTGGTTCTAATATTTCAGTTAACAGTTTAATTGTATAGTTTCCCTACTTTTTAGTTGTGTTTGGACTGTTGAGCTAACCCTGGCTATATGTCACAATGATAATAAACAAAGAAAACACTAAAAATGTAAAATAATGTAAGAAATCCATGCCAGAACTCAAAATGACTGATGATATATATTTTTTTTTACATAAACCTGGTTTAAAAAGGTTCAGAAAGTTCATAAGGATGCTGTTGTATTGGACATAAAGGGGAAAGGACAGAAATCCGATACAAAGAGCTGGCACTAACACGTCAGAAATCTGAGCTAGACGTATTGATTTTATGTCTTTTTCACACATAGCAGGAACGTTATATCTTTCTAATGGAGAAAAATTGATTATGCTTCAATCATTTTCATCCAGTAACCCAAAGCTTCTGGTGTGCATCAGCCTGTGTTATTCAGTGAAAGTGAGACATTGGATTGTTGGTTGAGCAGCAGCAGTTAAAAGAGTGATATTGTTTTTTCCCTGGAGGTAACAAGGTTATGGGTTCAAATCCCCCCCGGGTTCGCCGATTTGTATTCTACAAACAGAGTGACCAGGCAAAGGGGAAATATGAAGGTGTCTGGCAAACAATGCTAGAATGAAAGAGAAGAGTTTGTGGAAGGAGGCTGGTGGGTAGTGACACAGAAGCATGGATGCTGTTAGTGTCTAAAGATTTACAGTTGTTCCCTCCAGCTGTTGTTACTGTTGACATATTTTTACTCATGAGGTGGAAAAGTTGGTTCCTGCAGGTTCAATTTAAGACCTTTTAAAAGATCATTACAAATGCAACTAAATATCTATTTTCAGTCCACAAACAAGTATGAAGGATATGAAGGAAAATTGGTATTGGTTCCAGTTGTTACAGCATAAATAATACATCCCCCCCACAAAAAACACATTTAACAGCATGACATTTTAAGACCTAAAATTCAGATTATTGGATTTCTGACTTTTAAAGACCCCGCAGACACCCTGTATAAAGAAAAGCTGCAATAAAATCTGATAAAACTGATTAACTGCTTCTCCTTCTGCAGAAAAAAATACACCCACTTCCTACAACTTCACTTCACAGCCAATAAAACCAGCAGTGGCATCAATGGAACGTCGAGGTCGAGCCTACTGTCCCCAATCCGCTGCAGACCACAGAGAAACTGACAATAAAAACCAAAGCAGGCCTCAGCGAGTTCATTTGTTAAAATAACAACCGACATCTCGCGTTGGAGGCAGAAATTAAACTGTGTTGGATCAGAGGTAATGGCACTCCATTAATCACATGATCTCCATCGTGTTTTTCAGCATAAACTGCAGGTTTATATGATGTGACGCTTGGCTAACTTCACAAGTTTAAGAGGAATCATTTACAAGAAGAGAAAACTGTGAGTGTTAGAATTTAAATTTAATATAAAATCACATTTTTGACGTATGGGAAACTATAGAAGAACAAAAGAGACAAAGAGACATTTTTAATTTCACTGGACTTCTGAGTTTACATCTATTCCACCTTCATCTGGGTAATAAAAATGGCAGCCACAGAGGGGTTCAATTTACCATGACTAACAAATACACCTACACACACACACACACACACACACACACACACACACACACACACACACACACACACACACACACAGCACAGACATTTACACTAAATGAGACTTGAGAGAAGAAATGTTGCTCAGAGGTAATAAAGCGCCATAGAATGTGATACAATGAGAGTAATAAAGTGTGAAAGAAGATGAGAAGGTTGTTCAGCCCAGCATAAATAAAGAGAGAGAAGAGAAGATATGGCTTAACCATTAATCACTGTGTAATTATTCTAAAGACACTGTAACTGGCCGGCCACACCATTGCAGGTTACTCCTCCAATCAGAAATATCATTATTGAAGTGGATTTTTCTGATTGCTGCTTTAGTCTCATTGCACAGTAGCTCAATTCAAAAGAGACATTTACAATTTACCAACACTTTCCTTCCCTGCTACTAACTGAGGACACATTTATTACAGTTTGGAATCATTCCAACCAACTGGATGAAAATGCTTCATTAGGTTTATTGGCACAGTTGCCTACAGCTATGTCAACAAAGATATTTTATGTAAAAATGCTGAAATAATATCAGCCTGAATCAAAGGGATTGATTTAGAGAAGAGGATCCCTTTGTCGCACACTGACATACCACAGCGACAGCATATTTGTACAAATTAAATTTAGGAGCTGGCATCTTCACAAAAAAATCCTACGGGCGAAATGGAAAGATAAACAATGTCTCCTGAACAGCACAGAGTGAGCGCTCCATATAGAGGACTGCTATCTGTCATCCCTTTTGCTTTCCTTATTTGGAATATTTGGCCGTTGTTGCAAACAAATATTGTAAAGCAAAGAGCAACACAGAAGAAACAGAAAGAAGAAACTGTGACAGAGAATGCAACAGAACACAAGGACGGAAAGAGAGAAAGTTTGAAACAAATGCTACAAATGTGGAGGTAACAGTCTGTCATTGGCAACAAGTCCCTGTTCTCTCGTTACATGCTGCTGCATTACATGAAGCCCTGAGGGAAGACACACACACACACACACACACACACACACACATATCTGCTCTGATCGAGTGACCATCACTAACACACTTGCATGTATTCATAGCACACACACCAATGTACATGAAAATGCACTCAGAAATATACATCCACTTACACACACACACATACACACACACATTATATGACTATATATGAAACTATACAGAGTCATAGGGAGCAGTTGGTTAATGTGTGAACAATTGTTTGATCTCCCACCTACACACACACACACACACACACACACACACACACACACACACACACACACACACACACACACACACACAGCAGTCCATGGTTTCCTGGCAGTGGATAACAGCAGTGAGATGTTTAGTATTCAGGGAGAAGGAAGGAAACCAGAGTGAGAGAGCGAGCTGGCTTCAGTAACAAAGCAGCCTCTTCGTGACTCCCTCACTGAAACTCTTGTTGTATGAGTGTGTGTGTGTGTGTGTGTGTGTGTGTGTGTGTGTGTGTGTGTGTATTGCTGGATCTCTCCCCATGAAACATTTGTTCATGCATAAACCAGCTCCTTGTTACAACTTTTCGTACAGTTGGATGTGCTTCCTTGTGTGTGTGTGTGTGTGTGTGTGTGTATGTGACACTGCACCATCTCTTCCCACATGGATACTTAAAGTCAGTTTACTTACCCAAACCAAACTCATGTGGTTGTGGGGGTTCAGCTGCCCTGAAACAGATAAGAAAATGTAATTAGTGGACACCCTGAACACAGTGAATTAGTACAATGAAGTACATTACAGTACGTCCAAAGAGAAAAGGACCAGTGTGTATCTGAGGTTGCAGACTGCAACCAACTGAATAGTTTCAGTAGGAGAAACTACCGTGGCTACATAAAACTGCTAATAATAAGGTAATGAACACACAACTATTCTTATTTTCAGGTGATTATACACTAAAAAAAACATCCCTTTGAATATAATATAGCATTTTATTCCATTTCTGCCAATAGATCCTCAAAAATGTTACACACTGGACCTTTAATTTTAGACATTTACAAGCATAAACATAAACTTCAATCAGAGTGCCAGTCGGAAAATTTCACTTCTCAAATGAAATACTGCATCACATTTTCAGTTTAGGTACAACACAAAGCATTTACACAATGTAACTGTGTCCTCTCAGAGATCAGTCTGCCACAGTGCAGCATCCTTCCAATTCCTCTTCAGAGACACTGAAACAAAACTGTCTCAGATCAATAAAGAAACACAGTTTTACTGAAAATGATTTATATCTACTGCAACTATAGAAAGTCCTTATGAGGATCAGTGTTCAATATTTCTGTTGTGAACATAGGGAGTGCGTTTTGGTTCCAATTACTCCGGCCCACAGTTAGCCAGGGAAAATTCAATGCTGTGCTTTTGTCTGAGAGGTTCTATCAGTGGTTGTTTTAATCCTTTAAAATCCTTTGAAACGTCAGTGCTTCATTTATTCCTGCAGTCATACGTGTGTGTTCCTTACTTCTGCCAAGACGTCTTGGTAAATAAAATATAGTTAAAAGAAGACCTGCCTGGGTGAATTCAGTGCTAAGACAGAGACGATGCAGCCTTGGAAAGCGCGGGAATGTCTCAGTGGCAACCGGGGGGATTGAGGGGCTGGTGAGGTGATGGCTGGCCAAAGCTTCAGCAGCTAATTCACCGACCTGTCTGTGTGTCTGACACTCTCCTTTTCTGTCTGACTAACTACCTGTCTGTTTGTCTCTCCGCCTGTCTGCCTTTCCTTCCATTGGGACGTGCCTAAGATAATGATGAGGGCTTCGTTCTTCACAGAAGTAGGGCGTATAGATTGGATTATTGATCAGTGTGCGCAAAAGAAAGAGAAAAGAAAGTGTATACGTGTGTGTGTGTGTGTGTGTGAGAGAGAGAGAGAGCGAGAGAGAGAGAGAGAGAGATGCACACAAAAGAGGAAAAGAGAAAAGAGGAATGATGACAGAGAAGGAGTAAAAAAGGTCAGAAAGTGTAGACACCCAGAGCTGAAGCAGCGAGCTGTCAGATGAAAGAAAGCTTCACAATAAGAAAGAGAGAGAGAGTGTTTCCCACACGGTATTTTAAGCTCTTAAAGATGTATTCAAGTCTACACTTCTTACTGTCATTGCAGTGATTTGATCAGAAGGCAGCTGCAGCTTTTAAAATGTCCTCAATGGCTGTATGGTGACTGAGGAACGTCTTGGCAGAAGAGATGAGATAAGGATTAGAAACATGTTCTATACAAGATCCAAGTCCTTTAATACTGGGTAGCTGCCAATATTGATCCCGATCCATTATTTATATTTATTTAAATATAACAGCTGAAGATACTAAAGCTGACACACCTTCTCTTTCTACAAGCTATTTGATCCAAATACTGAAGGCTGTGGTTAAAAAAATTATGGCTTCAAGCTTAAATTATTGATTAACTGGAGAATGCCACTCACAACCACCTTGGAGCCACAGAAACACTCAACTGAAGCCAACATGGAGGTAACAAAAACTGCAGTTCCTCAACCATCCACTTGAGGCTGGCTCCAGAAGCCCCCTTATTAAAATGCCCAACTGTACAGCAGAATTAACATGTTTACAACCTGGTACAAAAAATGGTTTTGGTCGCTAAATACTCTAAATGACAACTGTACAGGGGGTTTTATATAGTTATATTAAGGCTTAACACAGGAGGCAGTTTTCAGTAACCAGGATTCATTCACAGAAACTATGGTCAAGTTTAACTATACAGTCTATGGTGTTGACCAGCTGCAAGTGACAAAATAAAGCTGTACATCTGTTAGCCAGTTCATCAATCACAGCTAAATCTGGCACTTTGGTTCAGCAACACTGTCCTCCCTGTGTGAACATGACCGATTTCATTTTATTTCTAATGTACCGTCAACCATAACCCTCAGAAAATGTAATCTTCTCTGCGTACTCCATGATGTAAATGACATTATGAGCGCTCTGCCTGGTTGACAGCAAGTATAATTACTGACATGAAAGCAGCTACAGTATCTGGCTGCTCACCAACTAGAGAAGATGATGGATTATGGACGTCTGCCATTGTCTCAACACTCAATTATTGTTTCCCAAAAGTAAAACTTCCTGCATTCAGTGGATCCCAAAGCATTATATCCAAAAATACTAACATTAGTCATTGTTTGGGAGGTCCACAAAAGCTCAAAAGCAATTAAGAAGGTACATAAATGAAACATTTTTAGGCCCTTTAGGCATTATTCACACAGGATTAGGATTGACTTGGCAATGTCAAGTGTACAAGCTCTCAAAAATGCCATAGAAATTCAACAGAAGCAATGATTAACACATTCTCATGAGGCTCTCAGAATGCTTTAATGTTTCAGTGCAGGCAGGAGCAGCAGTGACACCTGCAGCTCACCACAACCAACAGGACTCATGTTCATCTGAACGGAGTCATGCTACAGACCCGCTGCTGTCATGTGTTACAGCGTGCGTTCTTGGATTGTGTTAATTAGCTTTTGCTCATGAGTCATCATCGTCATCATTGCTTCCTGTAACCTTCTGCCAAACAAGAATACCATAATCAACAGGTTCTTCCCGGTCTCGTGACACGTTGGCGGTGATATCAGAGACCTAATTAGTTATCACACCACCAACTGGAAGCAACAGATTACAGTTATTCCTCTTACAATAACTGAGCAGGTGTTTATGTACTGGTAATTTGAGCATTTTAAGTTAATTTAAGCTATTTGGGTACAATTCTGGAGCAAAGAAAAGAAAAACAAAAGTCAACATTTATTTTCTGGAGTAAGTAATAATAAATTATAAATCTCAGGGACTTTGAGGGGGAAACTAGCTAATATGTAATAATATGTAATGTAATACCAAATTACTTTGTTTTAATTTCAAAATGTAAGTGATAAGGCGTTGAGGTGCCCTGATGTAAAAGAAAATAAGCAAACTCATGTTTCCTCTGCTGAGTTGATCATATATCTGAAAGCGTGTCCACTTATCACAGGCAAGAACAGATGGCCGGGGAATCTTACTTATCTTTGAGCTCATGTTTGATTTGCTCTGGCAGATGCATCTGGTCGCCCTCCCAGTCCTGGATCTATTCAGGCCAATCACAACCGTTCATCTAATGTTTGGCGGGTTTCATACTGTACCGTACAGAGGAACTTTATCGACTGTCAAGGCTTCTTTGGAACCAACCAAGATGGTTGCCGTTAATGTGAAACTGTTGTTGTTGAATCTGATATCAGGTCAGTATTAAACTATCAGGGTGGTATATTTAAAAGAACAAACAACTACTTTAAGCATTTGTTGATAAGAAAGGTATGTGCATTACTTCTGTCAGGATTGGTCAGTCTACATCTCGTTTCCTTACTCTGATTGGTTGTAGGTCTATCCAGTTGTGTCCAGAGGTTTTTTGGATGACGCCCTTTGGAAATCCAAAATGAAATGAGACTAATTAGTGTGGAAGCTGTAAATCATCATTAATGTTTTAAAGTTTAGTCAGTCTAACCCATGGTTCAACCCATGATTAGGTTAGTAAGTTATAGTGAGAGTTAACCGGTAAAAAAATACTTTTTAATGGTAGTTGTTGAAGATAATTTGCTCTGCACACTGATTCAGGAAAGTGGTTTTGACAGTGAGACGTCCTCTGATACTGAACACCTGCCAGCCAAACAGAAGCTGTTCATGATATGATGATATATTTAGAGTTGGAATATAACAGATAAACTATGGCGAGAGAGAGAGCACAAACATTACGAAGACCAGGGGCAGGAAAGACGAATCAGACACAGAACCTGCTGTACATCTTCAAGGATCTTCAAAGTGTATTGTGGTGTTGCTCCTGTGCACATACATTGCACAGCTATCCTTGTTAGCACCACTGATCCATTGACTTCATTCATTGTGGACAGCCTTACCCAAACCCTTACCATAACCTTAACCTCACCTCAATTCACACTGTACCCCTACCCCTACCCCTAACCCTGACCCCTACCCTGACCCTGACCCCTACCCTGACCCTGACCCTGACCCTGACCCTCTCCAGGACCTTGGAAATTAGGTTTTGCTGCATTAGGACCAGTCTTTGGTCCCCATGAGGACAACTGGTCAGTGTTTATACCAGAAATGTCCGCAGTAGGTTATAAAAATGCAAACACACACACACACACACACACACACACACACACACACACACACTGCCCTATTGCTGTCCCACTACCTTGTAGAAAGTTGTTTTTCATTGCTACAGTAGCTGACAAGACAAAATGAGCAACTATAAGTCATGTAGTTAGTTTAAGTGTGTTTTTGCAGTGTGTGTGTGTGTGTGTGTGTGTGTGTGTGTGTGAGAGAGAGAGAGAGAGATGGGCAGAGAATAACAGAAGAGAGATTTTGAATAAAGAGAGAGATAAACAAACAAGAGAGGGAGTAAGAGAGTGTGTGATGTGTTTTGGTCTTGTTTGTCAACCACATTTTTTATTCCTTGTCTTGTTATTATCCTGCCAGCATCTACAAACACACACACACACAGACACACACACACACACACACACACACACACACACACACACACACACACACACACACACACACACTGGACAAATATTATTGCCATAGTGCGACAGTAAACAAGAGAGGCAGGTATGAGTCAACATCAGGACACAAAACCACACACGCACCTGCACACATCATATCCTGTCACAGCGCAGATAAA